CACGCAGAAGAGGTGAGTTTGATTCCCGAGTGGGGAAAGCAACCGTTATTGCATGGTATTGTGGTGGACTGCAGCGTTATTGACCCAGGTCTCAATCACCACCGTGGCTTATTTTGTTTTGTTTTTGTTTTTGTTTTGTTTTGTTTGTTTTTTGTTTGTTTGTTTTTTAACTTAGGGAATCTTAAGAGTTTTACCTCTTTCCTCCGACACAATCCAGTCTTTTTACATGGAGGTATGTAGGTATTTGACTCCCCCATCGACCCAAATTAGATCAATCAGGAGGATGAGTTCGACCTTGCCTGTCAGGGTCACACCGGGATGCCCCCCCCCTCCCCCCAGGGCAATGCCACAGACAGAAGTGTCTTTAGGCCATTCTCAAAGGGGGATATTAACATGTTCGCATGCACAGTACAATTGTAAATGGACTGACTTATCAATGTCTTGCTAATACTGTGCCGAAACAACATAAGGAGAACTGCTGCTTTTTCTTTCCTCATCCTTACGATCGTCATTTTTTCTCTACTTCTTTTGTACGTTTGTTACTCTCTTGTGAACTGTTATTTCTGGGGTGCATTGATAGTGGGAAGCAGACTCTGTGCTGTTGAGGCTAGAGAGGCGAGCAGAGAAAGCCTGATTCCCTGTTTGGACGTCACTGTTGGCATTAACCCCTTGGCACTCATATTATGAACGTATGCAGTTGCGAGTGCCGAAAAAAAAGCCTTACTTTAGAAAAAATAGGATGAAAGGGATACAACGCCACCGCAGAAAGTCCAAAACACTTAATCAAACATTTCCTCGCTCATGAGTCGAACCAAGGTCTTTTGTACGCCTAGTCACTACACCACAGACGCCGGAGAGCCAGGCTGTCAAAAATGTAAGAAAATAGTCGGAATTGTCTAAGGCGGCCACCCTGTGTAGAGGAGATCAGTGGCCATTTTAGACAGGTGGATATCTTACACAGTGTCATTTAATCTTTTTTTAACCACACACACACACACACACACACACACACACACACGTAGGAAAATAAAAAAGACCGTTTGAACTGGTGGTTGTCTTAATGTGCAGGTAGCAATAAGTTCCACTGTAGTTGAAAGGAGTTAAGGAGGCTACACCATCCGTATCTCTTCAACGAATCGCTTCGCTGATCTTTAATACTAGATCTATGTCTTCTTACTGTCATTGTTTTCGGTTTTCTTTAGTAAGAGTTTTACGGCACAATCAACACAAATAGGTCAAACGAAGTGCAACCTAAGAATTAAAAAGATCTAACTGACATTTTTGGCCGTTTTGAGTTACTAAGACCATAAGGTCATAAATCAAAGGCTCTATCTGCCCTATCAAAATCGTAAGAATGTTCTGAGTCGTTATCTAGATGTTCAAAGAATTGAACCCAAAAAATTTTTTCAAAACTAGCTACTGAACAGATAGAAAATGTATAATTCTGAGGGACCGAAATGTCGAAAATTTGAGGTCTTACTAGAAGAGTAACGTACAAAGAAAAGAATGAAGAAAGATAAAGGTGATAGATATTTAACTTGATAGGAAAGGACTCAACCACACCAGAGCACCCGTCAACCGTCCACTAACAATATTTCAGAGATTGGTTGCGGAATAAATC